ACGAACTAAATCTGCACTTGTAAGAACCGTGTATGTCGCCCTAAGGGCCGATGCGCAAGAACATGTGAGGGATTGCTGTGCAGTAAAAGCTCAAAACGCAGGGGTCAACCTACGGCGCAGAACCAATATAATGTAATATAATATAATATAATGTAATATAATGTAATGTAATAGAATATAATATAATATAATATAATATAATATAATATAATATAATATAATACAATACTTCCATATTTTGCCACTATGCGCTCACGTCTCACGAACTCCAGTTCAACTGTCCCGCAAGTTCACCCCGACGCGCGTGGCGCGCCGCTGCGCCAGTCGCTGGAAGGGCGCCTGCAGTGCAGACTGTGACAACCAGCACATACCGGCAAAACCTGAGTCGGAAACCTCAATAATATCTGGTCTATGACCTGCACGTAGCGAACGATTTCCAAGCTACAAACTGCTGATTTATCGCCGTGACAAAGAAACCGTGGCCCTTCAAAGACAGCCAGCACACCCTCGAATTCCATGCGGTCTTTGAGCAAGGATGACATCACTGCTGGCAGCAACCGCTGCTGCAGTGCTGCGCGATGCCTTCCCCGCGTTGCTTCCGGCCCCTTTGTCAACCATGCCCGGAGAGGGGCCTCCTGCAATCCTCACAGAAAAAAGCAAGCTTCCAATCGACCCGAGGCGGACACGCGCCAGCCTTCCTTGCTTGCGTGAGAATATGAGCCGGTTCGAAATGCTTTATACGGTCTGCTAGACTAACAGGCTACAAACTCTAGTGAACATTGAACACACCTAACGGCAAGCACAAAAACCATCGAGAGTTAATCATCTTATGGACCCTAGCCACCTAGCTGCCCGGTTCAACAAGAGCCTCAGGTGCGGAGAGCTCATTCAACAGTCTACTCATACCCCATGCCTCTGTGGATCTTCTACGTTTGCAGTTGTCACATCGTGAGTGCGCGCAAGGTTCTGCTCTCCTCTCAAGCTTCCTCTCAACTTTCGCTCTCGACGATGCTTCAAATTTTGCAGTCAACAGAATCAACGCGGGCCTCACCATCTTCAGTGCCACCGAGGGCCGCCGCGTCCTACAAGGATCAAGACAGCGTGGAAGAACGACAAGCGAGCACCGCTTGCATGCTCTCTAGAAGCCCATGCAGGTCCGAAATTGCAGTGCCATGCTCGGTACATCCAAAGCGTTGAAGCCAAGCCCGGCCCTCAATGACATCAAGAGTTTAGACCGCCCCAATCCGGCAGCTTTGCCGTTGTCTTTGTTACGAGAGTCCCCTGCCGTCCGGGGCTGATGTTTTGCTTGAGCTCTGCCCTCGAAGTATGGGCCACTTTAGCTGCGCCTGCTGCACCTGCACTCGCTCTTGTCAGACCAAGAAACGCTGGCTCTTTGGCCCCTTTGCGAGGGCACAAACAGCCGAGCCCGTTGCGGTGCATGTGCACGTGCAGGCAGTGAGCAGGGCTTCCGTGTCCTGCAGCCGCGCTCCGCCAAGAGTCGCCCGGCGCTGGGTCAGGCGCTGCTTGGAAGCCGCCGCCTCTTCCTGCAAAAAGCAAGACCCCCGCACGGATGACTTAACACCTGTTTAGAGCCCTCTGCTTGGGCGAAACCGGCCTCAGCCTCAGCCTCAGCCGTGGCCAGGTCCTTGCAAAAGGCTTCGCCATGCACTCAGTACGGACGGGCGGCTGATACTCGCCAGGCTCCTGCAACTTGACCCCACCTAGCGTGGCTCGGCGATGCGTTGGGCGCCGGCTGGATTCATGGGCGGCCTCCTGGTCAAAAAGCTTGCATTAGCATCAGAGCCCACTTCTGCCCCACGATTCCGAAGGGGCCTGCTTCGAGAGCTGCTTTAAAACTTCTGTGTCGCCCGTGCTGATGGCGAAGCTCTTTCGCTGTGCCCTCATCTCTTTGCCCAGCCTTGGGTATTTCAAGTGCGGCACCACTGAGGCATCGAACCCTGACAAGGCAGCTGACAGCTGTCAGCCCCCTGTCTGTGCAGGATGACTGCCGAGGGACTGTTTGTACACGAACTGGTGGACCTTGGATGCGAAGGCTGTCATCTCCTCCACGTTGAGCCCCGTGGCGTCGATGTCCTCATCCGTGAAGCCTGAGGGTTTGCTGTCCATCTTTACCTGCGTGTAGAGGCTGTGAAAAGCGGGCTTCGGGATCTTCGGAGGCGGCTGCTTGTGTAACCAGAAGAACTCCTCCAGGAACTTGATGGCCTCGCCAGACGACCACTCGATGCGGCCCGTCCCGTCCTTGTCATGCTTCAGGAAGAGCTTTCGGGTGATCCGGGCCTTGGCTGTGCTCCAGAAAAGCTTAGAAGATGCCAAACTCTCACGGGCTCTGGTGCTTTGGGTGCAGCTGGGCCCCCGGCGACGTGCTCCGGATCCCAGAGGTCCTCTTCGTCGTAAGTCTCCAAGGTGGAGCGGCCACGGCTCCTCCTCGCCGCTGCTGCAGAGAATGCATCCTACGGCCCTACCTTACTTTGTTAAGACTTGGGCCGGTGACTTCTCCTTTTGCAGGGCTGCGAGGTCTCGTTGTAAGTGTCATAGTACTCAGACACCGCAGAAACTTGCCTGAATGCAGGGCTTGCATGGCAGAAAAAAACGAGCATCCATCCTTGCTTTCATTGGTAGACTAGGAATAAGGGCAGAAGGGGCTGCGAGAGCACGAGAGGTGAGAAGTGCCATTCGACTCGGCAGCGGACGGGAGTCCAGGGCGAGAGGCCCATCACTGAACTCAAGCTCCCCCGATCTACCGACAGCAGAGATGCGAGCTGACAGCATTGAGCCACCAGTGGCTGAAACGCAATGAAGCGATTCCACATGACTTCAGCGGTTCTAAAAGGAATGTCCAATGCTTGCGAAGCAAGCTTGACCTCTACGCAGAGCTGCAGGCATGAATAGCGGAACGAAAGCCATGCTGTTTGCAGGTGGGCTGCGACATTGTAGACATTCTGGAGGTCATCGGCTCATCTCTGTCACTTGCAGACTGCTCTTCTTCGGACTCCAGGACATAGGACACGGCTGATCCTGCCCTTTGGAAATCGACCGACTTGATGCGGGATTTCTCCCTGCGCTTGGCAGGCTTGTCTTCGTCCGATTCCTCTTCCGCGGGCTGCTCGGAAACAACACTTCCAGGTAGCGACTGCTTTTCCTCTGTGCCAAAAAGCACGGTTTTGCGAGCCTTGTGTGCTGAACTAGACTGCTCTGTCTGGACAGCTGCGTTCTCAACCTCTCGCGACGGCACGTGCCGCAGTCTCACGCAAAGCGTCTGGACTTCGTCCTCCAAGTGGGCTGAGGAAGCCTCCGCATGCCTCAGTTGAACTTGGAGCTTCTCTGATGCCGCTTTCGTCTCTACCGCCGCGGCCTCAACGTGCTTCAACCTCACCTGAAAGGCTTCCTCTTTGCTTCCTCCGCTACCGCAGCTGTCTGGCACAATCTCTCGCAACTTTGCAAACAAGGTCTCCGGCAACTTCTGGGACTCGGAATTTGCCTCGACGTGCCTCAGCTGGGCCCAAATCTCTGCTGCCTGCTCGTCTTTGCTGGCTGCGGCGGCCTGGACACTCCGAAGCCTCACGCCGAAGTCGTGTACTGATGCCTCCTGGTCTGCAGAAGACTCGCCTGCCCTTCGCAGGTGTTCGCGAAGGTCGACACTGAGCTTCTCCAGGTGCCCAGTAGAGGCTTGAACGTGCCTCAGATTCAAATCCTCAAGGCCAGTGCCCTCTGGCGAGTCTGTGGACCCCTCCCAGTGGAGAAGCTTCTGGCGCAGATTCTCCGAAGCCGCTTCAGAGTCCAGCAGTGTCTTGTGCAGGCCGGCACAGTGAGCCTCGCTTCTTTCCGCCTCCTGAGCAGATGCCGCCTGGGCCACCTGAAGCAGGCCAGCGTTCCCTTAAATGTCAAGCTTTGCAAAGTCTTGTCCTAAGCCTCCATGAACAATGAAGCACTCCGGCCTATACGGAGATCATACGAGTAGCTAAGTTAGAGCTGACAAGGCGATGCCAACACCATGCTGACACCGGCCTCAAGCTGCTTGACCTGCTCTCGCAGCGCGGACGCTTCGGCAGAGGCCGCAGCCTGTCTGGCATGTGGTCCACACGACATTGCACATGACATGCTGCACCCGACACATACCTGAGCATGTGTGGCAGTAGCTGCCTCGTCTGCTGCCTTCTGCATGCTGTCCTGTTGCGACGCTGCCTTTCGAAAGCGTCACAACAGTGACAGCGATGCTCTCATGAATACTTCGGTTCATGCTAGCTGCTAGCCGGCGTCCTTCAGAATTCTTTGGAACTGTAGCCGCTAGGGCCCGCTAGCGCAAATGGCGACACTGGGGACTCTGGCCTCAAAACCGTCAAAATCTCTGAACCTCCTACTGGAGCTGCCAAGACAATGCTGCCAACACGTTGCTGACACCGTCTCCACAGTCTCTACACATGAGTTCAAGGCCTCAAGCTGCTTGACCTGCTCTCGTAGCGCGGACGCTTCGGCAGCAGCGGCAACCTTCATGGCACAGTTTAGATCAAACTGCATGGCAATAGTCAGATCGCCGACAGAACAAGATCGCGCATGAGATACGATTCAATGATACCAGTAACCGAAAATGCCCGAAATACATCTGAGCATGTTTGGCAGTAGCTGCCTGGTCTGCTGCCTTCTGCACGCTGTCCTGTTGCGACGCTGCCTTTCGAAAGCGTCACAACAGTGACAGCGATGCTCTCATGAATACTTCGGTTCATGCTAGCTGCTAGCCGGCGTCCTTCAGAATTCTTTGGAACTGTAGCCGCTAGGGCCTGCTAGCGCAAATGGCGACACTGGGGACTCTGGCCTCAAAACCATCAACATCTCTGAACCTCCTACTGGAGCTGCCAAGACAATGCTGCCAACACGTTGCTGACACCGTCTCCACAGTCTCTACACATGAGTTCAAGGCCTCAAGCTGCTTGACCTGCTCTCGTAGCGTGGACGCTTCGGCAGCAGCGGCAGCCTTTTCCGGTTGGCTGAGGGCTTGGCTAGAGTGTGGCAGCAATCGAATGGTCAACAGGATCAACAACTTGGCAATGGCTTGCAAGTCAGGAATTGATGTCGATGCGTGCTGCCAAGCCAATAACAAAGCGCACTGTGACTTCAACCAAGCTACAGCTTCGACAGCTCAGATCCATGTCGCAGAAAGATTCTGCTGCCTTCCCTGCTGAAGATGTTACACTTGGGAATCGTCAAGCCCGGCCTCTGCGACTTTCAGCTTCTCGCGAAGCTTCTGGACTCCGTCGCGGATCGCAGATGCCGTTTCGACCTTCACATGCCGTGACGCCGACCAGCAAGCACTGGCAGAATCTGTCTTACTTCTGATTGCTGGGAGGGCCTCCTGCTTCTTGAGCTGGTCTCTCAATGCGGATGCTTCGGCGGCTGCTGCAGCCTGTTCGGAGGCGGAACTTCGTTGAATGCAGCTTGGCAGTGGCAGCTTCGCCAGGTCGTGCGGTCGCAGCCACCAAAAGACCCTTCACGCCTCTTCGGCTGCCTTCTTTTCAGCAGACTGCGATGCTGCCTCTTTGCAGGGGAAACTGCAAGATATGCCTTCTGACAATAAAATCTCCCGTGTGCTGCAGCTTGCTGGCAAAAGAATCAGGACACACAACCAGGTCCATTCTGTCTGCAAAACTCCTTGCCCTTGAAATGCCTTGAGCCGCTGTATGTCCGTGAGTCTTGTCCCGTAATGTCTTGAGTTTTGCTGCCATGTAGAAAACAGCTGTAGCTGCAATCAGCCTCTGCGACTTTCAGCTTCTCGCGAAGCTCCTGGACTCCGTCGCGGATGGCGGATGCCATCTCGTCCTGCACATGCCGTGGCATCTGTATACACAACACGTCTCCCCTCGTGCAAGCCATTGATGGACCAGCAAACGCGGAATCTGTCTTACTTCCGACTGTTGGGAGGGCCTCCTGCTTCTTGAGCCGCTCTCTCAATGCGGACGCATCGGCGGCTGCTGCAGCCTGTTCGGGGCGGAACAAGTAACTCATAAACAACACAACTCGGCCGGCGCTCTGCTGCGATGGCTCCTGCCTGGTCTGCTTGCATTGCAGCATCCCGGGCCGCTGCCTCTCACGTCAGGTTCCCGTCGCTTTGGCAGTCCCACTTGTGAGATTCGCAACATGCACATCACAGAAGCTGTCGTGCAGAGACACATGTCGGGCAAGCTCCCGTCCAGGACTTGTGCAAGGAGGTTGGGTTCCTCAACTCCTCGACAGCTTCCTGAGGAACCATTGTCTCCAAGTCAAAGCCGGTCCCCCAAAACCTTCCCACGTCCAGAAGGCTCGGCGCTTTGAACGCAAGCCTTCAAAATTCTGGGTACATGAAGGTACATGGGAATTCTGATATCATGTTTCCCGCCAACTCTGTAGCAGTCACTGCGTGTCAGGCGGCATGCTCTAAGCCGCTGTTCATGTCAACAACCTTCACGCTTCACCCGCTCTGAACGCTCTTCTTCGTCCTGTGATAGAAAGCAGGCGCTCTCTTCAGCGCACCGTCCCCCTGTTGTTTTGTCGATAACAAAGGGTGAGGTTGTGGACAAAAAGCGTTGCACTGTTAGACTGTTAAAGGGTTTCCAACATTGCCGCTCGCAGCTGATACTGTGCACACAAACATGCACCGAGATGTGTAGCTCACCCTCCCGAAGTCTCTTGACAGAAAGTCTGCACCCAGAAAAAGGACCGATAGTGACAAGGCAGAACAACACTTCATCTGTACCCACCTCCGCCAACTTTTCGCGAAGTTGTCGGACGGCTTCCTTGATGATGGCAGCAGAATCCTGCAGATTGAACTGTAGCTCGCAGCTCAAGGCTCCCTGATCCCCACACCAGTGTTCAAAGAAAGGGCGTTTCGCACACAATACGTCTGGGACGGCACCTCCATGCTGGTACACTTCTCCTTCCACTCTTTTGCTTCTTGAGAAGCAGCAGCCAGGGACTCCTGGCGCATCCATGGCACACCGAATGCACACCCCGCCCTTGTTCTGGACGTTTCACTCGCGGCTGCGGGTTCAGTTGTGTCGTGGCTCCTCGGCGTTGCGCAGCTTCTCCTTCCAATCCTGATCACAACCATGTGGAGAGGCCCCAGCTCGCAACAGCTGGCGCTTACTGCGATCTTCTGCTCTTCACCCCTCTTCCTGTGCTACCCTCAAGAATCCTGCGGATTGAACCGTAGCTCGGATCCCCAGATCGGCAACATGGATCGATTGATGGCACCCTATTCACTCGGAGCCTCTGCGCTTTTTTCCTTCTCCTGCGTGCGTGCGGCAAAAGAGCGATCTGCAATAAAGCGCCTGACAACGTCCCGGCACATACAAAGGAAGTGACAACTAGCGTCAGAACGAGCAGAATCAAGGACGGAGAGCAGGCGGAATAGAAGGACGTGCCCCACCAACCCTCCTTTCGGAATGTCCGACTCCAGCTAGCCATGATTTCCGCAGCAGCACTGCTACATCGCACAGGAGCGCAGACCAAGTTCGAACGGTGCTGCAAGATCTTGCTGCTTCTTGAAGCTCACCAGTGTTCAAAGAAAGGGCGTTTCGCACACAATACGTCTGGGACGGCACCTCCATGCTGGTACACTTCTCCTTCCACTCTTTTGCTTCTTGAGAAGCAGCAGCCAGGGACTCCTGGCGCATCCATGGCACACCGAATGCACACCCCGCCCTTGTTCTGGACGTTTCACTCGCGGCTGCGGGTTCAGTTGTGTCGTGGCTCCTCGGCGTTGCGCAGCTTCTCCTTCCAATCCTGATCACAACCATGTGGAGAGGCCCCAGCTCGCAACAGCTGGCGCTTACTGCGATCTTCTGCTCTTCACCCATCTTCCTGTACTAACTACCATGAGCCTCCTCACTCACAGCCTCGGGCTCGGAGATTGGAAGTTTCTCCTGCAGTTGCAGTGTCACGTCGTGACAAACTGAGTACAAGTCAAACTGCGGAGTTCTTTCACGAAAGATGAGCGCACTAAGCACCAAACCGATACAAGGATGCACTGCTGTCAGGTGTTTGCGCGGGTAGGGCCCTGACGCGTGAAGAGAACAGCATACTCGGTCACACCTCCCTAGAAAATTTCTGTGGCGCGAGAATCTCTGATCCGTAGGTGTACGACTGTCAGGCCGCAGCTCAGCTAGCCGAGATGGCTCTCACATGACGTCAGCGCGTCAACATGCAACTATCGAGGCACAGCTCAGAAAGTAAGCGGAGATGTGTCTCATCACATCACATCAGCCCGCCGAATTTATCTCTGGGTCATCACAGCTGCGGATAGCTGATTGGAGCAACAGAATGTTCCCGTTTGGACATGTCACGCAGTGCTCGGACGTCAAGCACACCCCTCTCAAAAGTAATTCGTCTCAGCGAACACTTCCCACAAAGACAACAAGCATCTCAACAACCAGCAAAAGCTTCCACATACTTCCAGAACGAATTGGAACACGTCAGGAAGTCAGCGGAGATGAGACTCATCACAGGAAGTCAGCTCCGCCGAATTTATCTCTGAGTCATCCTG